GTGCTTTCGCTGGGAGCATCTGTGCTTTCGCTGGGGGCATCCGTGCTTTCGCTGGGGGCATCCGTGCTTTCGCTGGGGGCATCCGTGCTTTCGCTGGGGGCATCTGTGCTTTCACTGGGAGCATCTGTACTTTCGCCAGGGTCAGAGTTCGTGGCTGTAGCTTCAGAAGCTGAAATTAAGAGGAAACATTCAAATCAAGACATGTGACTCTTCAGGCAACATGCTTGAATGTGCATTTCTCATTCTGAATTTATCTCAGCAAATGTCATCAATTCTGTCATACCTTTACCCTAGCTACCAACTCTCCTCTTACTCATTCTTCCTAGCTAGAGAAAGAATTTAGCATTTCCTTGCTAGGGCAGTGAGGCTGAGGGAAGACACAGGCAAATACTTTCTGCTTGCGTGAACACGAAAGACCAAATCCACATATGTGCTTATTCACAGGAACCACTGCTGAGAGACAGAAAGGAACTTCCTGTGGACTGACATTCTGGGGACTTCCCACAGAATGACTTGGAACTGAGTAGGTCCTAAGTATGAGGAGCATTGCAGTATGAGGAGAAGAGAAGAATCAGTTGACGTAGCTCAGATTAGGGGGAGTGTCTCCTTTCTTTTAATGCAGCAAAATCTCTTTTTGCAGGTTCTGGCCTAAGGAGAGAGATATTTGTCATGCCTTTTGTGGGAACTTGTACTACAGCAATAATTATGAGAGTCCCTTCTACATAATGGGAAATATTGGTACTATTCTGGAAATAATAAGAATAAGCAAATGCTTTTTCACCCACCCCATGTTCAAAAGAACCTTGCCAAGATTTATGAGATTTATCTCTCCCCACAGAGCTGCTAACAAATAGCAAGAGTCAGACCCCCAAACTGTGAGCGAAAACCATCTCATCACCATCTCCATACCTGTACTCTAGCTGTGCTGACTCAGGCCTCATGCTGGAAAGAGAATATTTTTTAACTGGACTCCACATGGCACATGTGGCACGGTATGCGAGGTCAGACTAGAGTCAGTGCCCTATGATCAGAGAACCCAAGTCCACAAGCTGTTGAGGCTGAAAAGAGGAATCTTCAGAATGCCTGTATGAGCACGACACACACAGCATAGAATGGGCAGGGTGCTATGGGGACAGTCCAAGAATGACCAGGAGCTTTGGTCCACAACCTTGGGATTTAGGTTAAAGAATGAAAACAAACCTCAGCCTGGGAATCAGGCATTGATGCCATTACAAAGAGCAGAGCTTAGAGCCCTACTTGCATTTGACCCCTACATTCTACATCCTGTTATCCCACTCTCCCATGTGGTCCTTATGCCCTCATTTCTGCATTAGTCTCAGGAGCTACATTCTCCTTATTATGGTGAAACCACATTCCTCAATGGGACTTGAACCCAGCTGCACTTCAGACTGGGACTGGAGGCCACAAGTCCTGATTTAAGAGGTGACATTAACTCACAAGCTTTTAACTCAAATTGCACACTTGGTGCCTGGTGTGTAGGTTCTTTTGTCTTGGTGCAAAACAATTCAGGCACAGAAAGAATTCAACCAGAGGCAAGGCCACAGGCAAAGAGAGAATTAATTAGAGTAGGATACTTGTGAGAGATACAGGCAGGCAAGGGACTGCAGCCCTGAGAACAAAGAGAGCTGCCTACTTTTTTTTCTGGCTGTATCCCGAAGCTTGTAGGAGTTTAGCTCCTGGACCAGGGCTCGAAAATGGGCCCAAACAGTGAATGCGTCACATCCTAACCCATGGACCACCAGGGAATTCCTAAAGGCTGCATTTTTATAATCTAAGAAAAAATGGGAAAGGTAGAAGATCACAGGTTTTCTCTTTTGGGGTCAGACATCAAGGCTTACATCATTAGTTCCTCCTTAATATTATATGGTCTAACCAGAACTGTCATGGTGCGATAATCATATGTATATTAACAAAGAAGTGGTGACATATCCTAAAATACTGTAATTCATCTCAGGTTGTGGTATAATGTCCTTTTTCACCTAGTTTCTTTTCTCTTCCACCTATACTCCTACCTTGGCTATGTGTAGGAATGCAGTTTTTCAGAATCTGTTATTATAAGCCTCCCAAGGCCAAATTCAGGCCTCATCCCATTTTTCGGTGGCAGTGGCCACTGAGTAAACAGTAAGTCTGTTTACTTTCAAAATGTTCTGATTGTTGCTTAGTTGCCATATGTTCTGATCATCATCTTGTTGGTGTCTAGTTCATGGTGATCTTCTGAAGTCCCTCTCTGTCTTCCCCAAGTGAGATTTCCAGGTGTAGAACTATCTTATTCTATCCCTATCACTGGGACTAAATGGCCTCTCACTTACACACTGGCCATATATTCAGCCCTTTGGTTTAGGGTAATCAGAAAGACTTTACATGCACCTCCCCCAAATTCTCAGGTCACAACATCAGACCACGGCCTCCTCTCTGCTGAAGAAAATTCAATGATTGACCCACAATTTATATAAATCCATGCCAGAGTGTTCATGTTCTCTAATAATGTGTAAGAAATAAGCAGACTTTCTATGTTCACCATAAACATTTGAATCAAACAGAAGGCTTTGCCAGGCTTGGACTTGAAAGAAAGGTGAAAGTGAAGTCGCTCAGTAGTATCCGACTCTTTGTGACCCCATGGACTGTAGCCTACCAGGCTCCTCAGTCCATGGAATTTTCCAGACAAGAGTACTGGAGTGGGTTGCCATTTCCTCTCCAGGGGATCTTCCCAACCCAGGGATTGAACCTGGGTCTCCCACACTACAAGCAGATGCTTTACCATCTGAGCCACCAGGGAAGCCCAAGGCTTGGGCTTGAAGTGAAGTGAAGTGAAGTGAAGTCTCTCAGTCGTGTCCGACTCTTTGCAACCCCGTGGATTGTAGCCTACCAGGCTCCTCCATCCATGGGATTCTCCAGGCAAGAATACTTAGGAATCCTTATATCCTATCTCCTGTGGAAACTTTGACATGAGGCTGGGATGGAAAATGGTCATTGCTGGAAGGAGATGAGGTGCAAGGGCAAACTCACCTGGTGTGTCCTGTGAAGCAGTTGCTTCATCCTCTGAAACAGAAAAATAAAAACAGGACATGAGTTGAACACCAGATTTGGGTGTGGAGAGAAGAATATGGACAGTGTGCAGGCTTTCAGAGTCAAATAACTTAAGTCTTTGGTGCACACGTTGAGGGGTAAGAGATATACACAGATAATATAAAATGCGACAATATGTGGTCACTTTTGATTTCCTGAAATTAACCTCTGATTTGTATTCTTAAACAGATTTTACTGACTCTGACCATGAAACTGGGTTCCAGGGTCAGAAATGAGCTATGATCTGATTGATTTAGGAAGAGCCTAAGGGTAGAGTCACATCTATCGTGAATGGTCAGTGAAAATGGTGATGAAACAGGGGACTGGAGTAGAGGACAGGAGAGGCCAGCATTCTAGGCTCCCCCAAACCCACATCCACACAGAGTTCTTATCCTCCAAACTATTCCTCCAAACCTTATTTTCAGGTAAGAATCTTTACTTACGGCTAGAAACCAGGATGGTGGAAACTGCCACCAGTGTCAGGAAGGCCAAGAGCTTCATGATGGTCAGTTGCAAAGCAGGGATCACAGGAAATTTTCGGAGCCTGGAGGAATCTTGACTCCAGGATTCCACATCAACATTATATAGGAAGAAAGAGAACACCAATCAGAAGATGCCAGACCAGAATCCGGGTTAGTTAATGCCAGGAGTGTTCGTTCTCAGAGAAACCACCGAAGAAAAAACAGCACAGCCTGAGGCGCTTGGAAAGATCATAATATCAATCATTTCATTCTGACACATTCATACCTTGTAGATAGAGTGGTATCATGATTATAGTCTTTTCTGACAAGGTGAAAAAACCCCGCATCCAGTCCTCCTGATTTAGTCATATCTGCAGTGCTCCCTTCAGAGACTTGGGAAACTTACTCAGCCTTGTCTCTCATCAAAGGAGATTAATTAGGGTAGAGCAGCCTGATGGAAGAACCACCCTCTGAGAGTCAGGCTGTACATTCTTCCAGTTATGGCCTCTCTCCTGCACATGTGAATAAAAAGAAAAACAATAGAAAATGAAACTGATGTCTGTTAATTAATGCATGCCTTGACTCCACACATTTCATTCAATAGTCATTAAGCGCTAGACATTACTGTTCACGCAGTAGTGAACAAAGCACACAAAAATTATACACCATCCACCCTGTTGTTGAAACCCATATGTTAATAAGTGAATAGGAAGGAAGGGAGGGAGGGAGGGAGGCAGGGAAGAAGGAGAGAAAAATGGAAAATAATATTTTGTATATATAAGGTGATAAAGCCTAATAAATAATAACACAGGTAAGAAGGAAGGAAATAATTATAGGAGATGGAAAGTGAGGTTATGTTTACAATGTGTAGCACAAAAATGGGCTTCCCCGTGGCTCAGATGGTAAAGAATCTGCCTGAAATACAGGAGACCCAGGTTCAATCCCTGAGTCAGGAAGATCTGGAGAAGGAAATGGCAACTCCAGTATTTTGACCTGGAGAATCCCATGGACAGAGGAGCCTGGCAGCGGGCTACAATCCGTAGGGTCACAAAGAGTCACATACAGCTTAGAGACTAAGCAACAACAAAAGCCCCAAAATGCTAAATTCATATTCTCAAATTAAAATTAAATCCAATTAACAACTGAAATTAAATCCAGAATGTTCTCTAAAATGTTTTACTACTATGCTTTCCTATCACTTAGTTTTTTTATAATTATCATTATGAAAGTTAAAATAGAAGTATATATAAGAAAGTAAAATTTACCAGACCATCTAACACAATGAGAAACTGTAATTATTACTTTGTTAATATACATTTCCTAAACACTTTTATGCACATACGGATACATGCTCCTCCATTCTTAGCATTCCAAACTATTGTTTACCACTACCAAAAACCTGGAGAAGGAAATGGCAACCCAGTCCAGTATTCTTGCCTGGAGAATCCCATGGACAGAGGAGCCTAGCAGACTACAGTCCATGGGATCACGAGAGTCGGATACAACTTAGCAACTAAACCAAACCACCACCAAAAACAAATTTAAATGAATTTTAAATGAAATTTAAATTAATTCAAATTAAATGAAATTTAAATTAATTCAAATTAAATGAAATTTAAATTAATTCCTAGTTAATATATATATTAATTATATAATTAATATATATTTTATATTTAATATCATAATTTTGTATATAATATAATCAATATATTTTATATATTTATATAAATAATTGATATATATATATATATAATTCATTTAAATTAATTAAATGAAAATTTAGTTTAAAACAAATTTAAATGAAATTTAAGTGAATTTCTCCATGTTCCTCTTATCATATATAAATCTGTACATATACAAATCTATATATATGTTGATATATTTCTTACAATATGGTATACAAAACAGCATTATATTCTGGATCATTCTTTCTTCTGTGTGCACTCAACATGACGTCTAACAAATGTAGGTCAGCCATTATAGATCTATATCATTCCTTTAAATGGTTTTGTTATATCATAATTGACTCTAACCTTCCATGTTGATAGAAATTGAGGTCACTGCTAGTTTTTTGCTGCTACCAATCATAAAGCCATTGATATGCCTTTTTAATGTACTCTTACCAAATATTTCATGTCAATGCTCTAGATTGCCAGACTTATTAATAAACTCATTAATATTTTTAATAGATAGTATCAAATTACTTTCCCCAAGAACTCAAAAAATTATTATTAAAAGAAAGAAAATATGAGAGTGCTTCTTTCCAACCATCTTGCCAGAACATCTCAATATTATTTTGCTAACCTGATTGGTCAAAGCAGTATTTGTTATGCTCATTTGCATTTCCTGGATTATAGTAAATTTGAGCATACTGCATGCATTTATTGATGCATGATGCATGCATTCATGATTTTCTATTCAAATAATTTATTCTGTCTTCTGATCTTACCATTTTAAAGACTTTGCATATAAAAGAGATTTTAATATTTTTAAACTGTTACAAAAATCACAAGGCTTTACAGTCTAACAATTTTAATTTTATTCACAGTACATTTTTAAAGTTTCAAATTAAGTAACCTATCATTTTTATTATGCTTCTTATATTAAACAGTTTGCAAAACACATAACATGACATCTTAAATTTGTGACACTTCAGTATTCCTCCATACAAACTTCACATCTCTTTCTACCCTCTGAACTTACCCAGTGATCACAAACCTGGCCCCACCAGCAGTGCACACTCTCATTTGAATCATTTAGTAAAGGACCTAGGCCCTGAAAGCAAACCAAAAATAAGCCTCAGCCTGAAGGGAGGTCTTGAGAGGAACATAAAAGACTTGGACCAAAATCAGGCCCCTTGCCCCTTGTCAAATACCTCACAAAATTTGGAAGATTCTGCAGTAGTCCTGGACTGGGATGGGCAAGGATACATGAACGAGTTTCATAAAGATAAGAATTAACTAGACACAGATAAACAAGAGGATATGGTACTAAGTTTATATATAAGAGAGAAAAGATGTAATTAGAAGTCTCAGGGTGATGTGAGGCCCTGGAAGATTTGGTGTTGAGATCAAAGATCAGCTCTCATCCTGTTCTTCCATCAGAGGAGCTGAGAAACAAACAGGGCTACACAATGACTGTTCAGCAATATAAATCTGACTGTGTGCACAAACACAGTGTGCAGACCTAGCATGTTTCTTCTAGTTATCAATAGCTTCCATTATCGCTGTTCAGTCTCAAATAGCACCTCTTCATGGAAATCAAGTTAGATTCTATTTTCACATAAGGCTTATCACTCCCTGATATTTTCTTGTCTCACTGTTTCTTTGTCCTTGGCTTCTCTAGTGTTGTCTTCCTTCAAATAAATGAGCTCTAAGAAAACAAACTTAAGTTGTTCATCTCTGTTTCACAAGACCTAGAAGAATACCAAGCACTGAGTAGGCTCTTGAGAAATGAGCCTAACTAAATGAATGAATGAAGGAATATAATACAAATTCAAATAGTAAGCGAAAGACAAAGGAGAAGGACTTTGAGGATCAGGGAGGGAGTGTACTGTGAAAGGTCAGGATTAACCAGGACATGGATGAGGTCTTGTAAGGTTGAACCTCAGCCTATGACTATGAGTTATGATATAAAATAGGTACAGAAGGGCTAGGAAGGGAGGAATCTCATGAACAGAATTAACTATGGAAGAATGCCAGTGGTGTTTAGAGACAAAGATTCTTTATTCTCTCAAATCTCCTAGTCACAGAAATCTGGATCTAAAGGGTCACACACACACACAAAAAGAAAAACAGCATACACTTACACATGAAGATAGGAACTCCCTGCACCAGTGAACCAGGGCTTCCCAGGTGGCCCAGTCGTAAAGTATCTGCCTGCCAATGCAGGAGACACAAGTGATGTGGGTTTGATCCCTGGGTGAGGGAAGGTCCCTTGGAGTAGGAAATGGCAACCCACCCCAATATTCTTTCCTGGAGAATCCCATGGACAGATGAGCCTGGTGGGCTACAGTCCATGGAGTCACAAAGACTTGGACAGGACACAGTGACTGAGCATGGGCACACACCAGTGAACCACAGTAAAGATTCAACTGTACCTGATAAGCCTCACAATACTTCCTTTTTTAAAAAATATAAATTTATTTATTTTAATTGGAGGCTAATTACTTTACACTATTGTATTGGTTTTGCCATACATTGACATGAATCTGCCACGGGTGTACATGTGTTCCCCATCCAATTCAGGGAAGTTTTCCTAAAACTTGCCTGTGTCCTGGTTCATTATTTTACTATCAGAAAATAACTCTCCTAAGTACAAATTTCTTCCACCATTGGCTTTTCCTAGTTAAGGAAAACAACATCTAATCCTTACCCTAATTCTCATTCTTTTTCCTATCGAGGCTCATCCTACTCAATGTGTGTGTTCAGTTGCTAAGTTGTGTCTGACCCTTTGCAGCCCCATGGACTGCAGCCCACCAGGCTTCTCTGTCCATGGGATTCTGCAAGCAAGAATACTAGAGTGGGTTGCCATTTCCTACTCCAAGGGGATCTTACTGCATCTCCTGTGTCTCCTGCATTGGCAGGCAGATGCTTTACCACTGAACCATCTGGGAAGCCCCTAGCCCACTCATTGCTTTATATCAATTCTCTATAAATGCAACTCTTTTTTTAAAATTTATTTATTTTCATTGAAGGATAATGGCTTTACAGAATTTTTCTGTTTTCTGTCAAACCTCAACATGAATCAGCCATAGGTATACATATATCCCCTCCCTTTTGAACCTCCCTCCCATCTCCCTCCCCATCCCACCCCTCTAGGTTTACACAGAGCCTCTATTTGAGTTTCCTGAGCCATACAGCAAATTCCCATTGGCTATCTATTTTACATATGGTAATGTAAGTTTCCATGTCACTCTTTCCATACATCTCACCCTCTCCTCCCCTTTCACCATTTCCGTATGTCTGTTTCTTCATTGTTGCCCTGTAAATAAATTCTTCAGTACCATTTTTCTAGATTCCATATATATGCATTAGAATATGGTATTTATCTTTCTCTTTCTGACTCCCTTCACTCTATATAATAGGTTCATCCACCTCATTAGAATGA